TTTCCCTAGCCTCTGGCATTAAGGGGAGGTGGCGGAGAGGTACGGCTGCAGGCTGGGAGCGCTCAGCCTTCGCCCAGCAGAGGCCAGCACAAACGCAGTGTTTGGGCAGGCTCTGCTTGCGGAGAAGAGTCATCTCTCCACTTGGCCTTCCCCGGCTCGAAAAGAGTCTCCTGTAAGCCCTCATCTCTTTGCTGCTTGGAGAGAGCTTTTCAGCGAGGGGATACGTAGCACAACAGCAAGGCACTGGCACCCTGCCTGGGTTGGGACAAGCTGCCACAGGCCCAGCCATTGCCCAGTTTCTTCACTGGTGCGCCCAGAAGCATCCCCTTCCCTTGGAACAGCGAGCAGCCCAGTGTTCCTGGAGGCTGGTCATGGCCAGATGATCCTCACACAACACCTTAGAAATGCCAGATGCCATGGAAATGAAGTTCAATTGCATTGCAGGTAGGAGCAGACAAAGTAATCAGGGATGATTTCCCTGGCCACCACCCTGCCCTTTGCTCCTCCTTTGAGCTCATTAACAGTTAGTTGGCTGACAACAGTAAGGGCCACACCAGAGGACAGGCACTTGGCTACTTGGAAATCAAAACTAGTTGCATGAGGAGTCTTGAGTAGAGGCTGGGAGCCTGCGGAGGAGAAGCAAGAGGCAGTACCTGTACAGAAGTGAAGGAATCTGCTCACAGAGCCTGAATAAGCAGCTTGTGCTGCTCTGCAGATAGCCTCAGGAAAAGATGTTATTCTCAGCGACTGGTTGAAAGGGCCGGTGTCCCAGAAAGGATATTGTTGTCCTTTGTTGCTTGGGTGATAAGGACTGTCTCCCAGGTGAACCATTCTTCATAACAAAGAGAGACTGCATCCCAAGAAACCGAGAGGTCAAAACCGGCTTGAACCATGCAGATCATCTTCTGTGATCAGGTTTTTGAGGGCAAGACTGGGGCAAAGACAAGTCAGATTGGAAGATGTGTCCCTTAGTACCAACATACACCCAGCGTTTGGCCAAAATGGCTGAGCACAATGTGCTTGGAGGCCTTCCAGCTCACAGCCAGCCATGCAGAGGAAGGGCACCTTAACTGATGATGCCAAGACTATTGTTTAGGTTCTGGAGAGGATGTTGTTGCAAACTCGTCTCCTAGTCTCACCACTTACCACTTATTTTCGTTCTGAGTCGCAGTAATAAGTCTGAGACGTTACCAGTGAGTAGTCTAGCAATTCTGCGGGCATTGCGCAGAACCCCACCCAGCCTGCAGGATCTCAGACTTCGACAGCTCTGCAACAAAAATATTGGCTTCGTGTCTGTGTGGGCATAGGTGATACATATACACCAACGGAGGACCTTCTCCACCTGCAGCAAAAACCCAGTTTAGCATTTTATAGCCATGAGAAAACAAAAAGGTCACAGCAAGGATGGAGATTTCTTGTTATTGTAGGCAATACTGTGTTTTAAGCCCATGCAAGCTTTGTTGGGGCTCTGTTGCATCGTTCAGTGAGGGGCATGAGCCTGCGGTGCTCTGCACAGCAAACCCCAAGTGAGCTAGCAGTAGCTTTTTTTCTCTCATTCTGTGTAACCCAGGAAGCATCAGAGCCCTTAGGAACATTAAGTGAAAAATCCAGGAGCAAACCCACCAGAATCTGAAGGAGCAGAAGTGGATCCTGTAAAAACAAGCTCCTTTAGAGCTGCAGCCAGTTGTCTCTCCCACGCTTAAAGGGCCGAATCCCAGAGAAAAGCAGTTTGGAAAGGGCCTTTGTGGCCTGGGTGACTCAAAGCTTGGCCTAGGCGGGGGATCAGCAGTTCTGGTCGTTGTACCCATAGATGGAGAGAAGCCTACTGGTGTGAGATGTAGCAGAGGAGGGTGACGTAAGACACACTGGAATTTCTCCTGCTGCTTTTTCGTGGACATGGTCAGAATCTTTTTGCTGCCTTTAGATGTATGCTACAAGACCTGTATGCAGAAACCCAGCTGCCTGGCTAGAATAACCACTCTCCTCCCCTGTATGTGAGCATCCCCATCGGAGCAGGGGCAGAGCTGTGCAGACGAGGGCCGGTGCAATCACCCATTGCCTCAGCACTGCTTTTGCCGGGTGGTGATGCCCAAGGCAACGTGCTGACACCAGGCATCCCTGGCCTCAGCACTTCCCATGCTGGCACAGAAGCTGGAGGCAGGAGCTTCACAAGCCTCTTAACAGGCCATGGCAGGACAAATCACGGTGCTGCCTGCACCTTTCCTGAGGACAGCTTGCTGAGGCATGGCAGTGTTTGGTTATCATCCTGGTAGTGCAAACCAGAGGGAGAAAATGGGCACAGCACAGCACATTACAGACTTTTCCCAGCCGCTCTTGAGGGCTATGATGATGAGCCAAAACCTGTCTGGGAATATGCTGCTTCTCTGTGCCTGAAGGGAGGGTAGCTACAAACTGAGTCCATTTAGCTCGGTTAAAAGCCTGTGTCAGCAGCACTGCTTGTGGTATCCTATGCCGAAAAAACTGCAGCTGATGCTCCTTGGGAGGTGGCAGCAGTCCTGAGCCAGCATTAGCAACAGGACCTGCACTGGCAGGTGGGCTTCAGCCTTGTGTGTGGAGCGGGGCTGACAGGCAGACTGCTGGCTGGTGGAGTGTTAGGAGCAGAGACCGTTTGTATGGAGCAGCTTGTGTTTCCACTAGATCAGACCCAGCAGAGCTAATCTACTCTTCACTGACCTTTCTGGTTTCATCTGCTTCAATGCATGAGGTAGTACAGCTGCCTTTTGTGGAGCTGTGACTGGTGGGGAAGGGGAAACAGCGTGAGCTGCAGCTACGTGCCTTGTAGCAGGGTGTCTTGGAGCAAGGGTCCTGCGGGGTCCTGCTTCCCCTGTGTACTCCAGCACAGCATCACCACCCCCCTCCATGCTCCGATGCTCCTTCCCAGCTGGACCGCTGGTCAAGCTCAAGGCTCCACCAGCCCACCCAGACCCGCACATGAGGTGACACGATATGGTGGTGCACTTCCGCGTGTGCAAGCGGTGCACATGGACGTCTAGCCCTCGGCAGCTGGGAGCTGAGGGTGTCACCGGGGAAGAGACCCGTGATGCTACTTGGTGTGTCAGACTCATTAGCCAGGTCCAGCCCTGCAGCAAGGAGGGACCCATCTCCCCCAGGGACCCCATCACCTCACAGACCATTGCTCCCCAGCCTGCCCACATGGGCCCCATTTCTAAATGTGGGGCTCCAGCTGCTGGCACTTGTAGGGCTGCTCCCTGGACTCCAATATCTCCCCTCCCACTGCCTGCATCCTCACTGTGTCATGCCAGGCCTTAGGAGTGGCTCAGGTCCTATTTTGGAAACAAAGGGTTAAGCATTTTCAGCCTTTATTTTACAAAAATAAACCAGTTTTGCCCTGGTACTCTGTGGCCCCCAACCTTCCCCTCTGCCCCAGCTCCTGTTCCTCTCCCTGGAGCTCTGGCTGTTGCGTGCCGCAGCCAGCCACTTGCACCGAGGCTGACGGTGCCACATGCCCCGGCGAGTCTCTCCAGGCAAGCACCGGGGAAGGGGTTGGTGCCCTTTTGCGAACGCCTCCACTTCCCAGGATCCAAGCTGGAAACCGCCCGAAGATGCCTCCTGGTGGCTCTGCCTTTTCTGCACAGGGAGCAAGTCTTGGGCAAGTCACTCAGAGTACACACTTGGAGAAGTGGTGTCCGTCCTTCCGTCCGTCCCTCTCCCTTGGACGGAAAAGCGAGCGCCACGAAGTTGCTTCTTGCTGTCAGTGGAGCTGCCAGGCTGCCGTCCCGCTGGCTGGCTCAGTGCTGGAAGCGTGGGGAGCTGATGTGGGGCTGGTGGAAGGAATGCGTGGCGTAAAGCACTTCTGGGGGCGGTGGAGCGGACGTCAGGATGGAGCAG